GTCCTGTCCAGGGTGTGTGTGTGTCTGTGTGTGCAGTGTGATGGACTGGTGTACCCTACCTTGCACTAATTGCTTGTCAGGACCGGCCCTGGCTCCCCCATGACCCCAAAACAATTTTTTACAAAAGGGACACGAACGTGATGGTAAAGTGCTTCTGTGTGCCATTGCAAGTTTAGATTTAATTTGCCACTCATTAACTAACAAATATAATTTTTTAAATCTCTTCCAGTTCTGACCATCAAGTACTGGGTTCATTAAGCACTAATTATGAGCAGCTTTGCATATTTGAAGATAATAAAATACCACACCACTGGATAAAGCTATTTACAAGAATCTATCAGATCCAACAAATTCATGGCACACTGACTATGTCATTTACTGATGTAAGGGTGTAATTAGTCTTTTATTTAATTTCTTTCAGGTTTTTCTATGTGATTTAGTAAAGGAAATAAATGACCACTTTGAAGCATCCTATTAGAGAATTTATATTCCAGCAGCCCGCAAAATATGAGAACTATCTGGCCTGTGATAAAGCATATTCTCTTCATGCCAGCACTGCAAACAAGAGTTAATGGTGATGAACCTGAATGCTTTTTTATTTAGCTGCCAGCCTAAGAAAAATGCAGCTTGCGGAAGCTTGTGAAGCACTCTGAAGGAAAACTGTTACCTTGTACTGGAACAGGAACAAACCACAGAAGAGGCTGTAAAGGTCTGCTGTCAAGAGGGAGAGGTTGACAGCTGTGGCGCTGGTTCTTTTGATGACCACTGGCATGAAACTGTACAGACCAAACATACAGGCACTGAACCCAATATACAGCAACCCTGGAGGAAGACAGAAAGGGAGGAAGTGTTACAGTGCTGCAAAAAAAGCATCTTCGAACACGTTTTCAGTCTCATGGTTAAAATGAACTGCGGTTTTCTTGCAGGGGCCAGAAGCCCATTAGAGGGAGCAAGTTAACACTAAAGCCAGCAGGCACGTACACTGAACAAACGGCTGACAAGTTTGTCCACACAGAGATCAAGATGGAGAGCTATTTCCACAAAACAACATTTCTATAATAGTCTGTAGAATACTGCTGTTATTTTCGCACCTTGCATACTTAAAACATATCAGAGATGATCAAACATTTTGTTCTACTTTGAGTATTATTGCAATGCAATCTATTCTTGCACAACAGATTTGTTACTTAGACACATTTCTTTTCTGTACCATACAGTATATCACATTAAGGGTATTGACACAGTCCAAAATTAATTAAAACTTAATATTGCTGTAGTTAACTGCATTTCTTGTTGTTTTTATTAGTGGCTGTGTACAATCTTCTACTGAATGTAAATGTTAATGTAAATGTAATACATCTACTGTACCTACTGTCTCTGCTTCAATATGTCTGTTATTATGTCTGAATATAAACTCCAAATGCACCTTTTCTACTTTCGGATTAATACAGACTACACCTCTGGGGCACTGACAGTTTCATCAGAAACCACACTTTGGTAGTGAGAAATTCTTTATCAGAAAGACACTTGTTAATTGGAAAAATCTGCAAAAGGAGGCACAGCTGGTCTGATTGAGTAATTAGCACTCAGAGGGAGTGAAATTGCACGTGAGGGAAAGGAGCTGTTGGGATAGTTTCTGTGAGGAATTAGTCACTCCTCTGGGCTAATTGAGAGGTTTATAAGACCAGCCAGGAGGAAAAGGGTTTCAGTGGGTGTCTAGGCTCCAGTCTGGAAGAAAGGTGGAAGTGGCCCAGAGGGGTTTCCTCATTAATATCAGATTGAGGTGTACAGGCCTAAGCATATACTGTATGTATTTGCAAGCTCACATGCCATGTATTTCAGCAGAATTAGAAGATGATACATAGTTATATGCTGGTATAATGCTCAACTATTTGGGGTTGCATCATTCATTGCTATTAAATACCAAAGTCAACACATCTAAGAAACATGAGAAACTAACTGATACATGATCTTAAACTGTAATTTTATTAGACCTATTATGAACCTTTTTTTCAAAAAGCTCAGAGGATCAGTTTGATGAACTACAGTACATACTGTAGAAAAAGACATAGAGAAACACAATCAGCTCCAAACTATAAAATAAATCATAAGCACCCAAATTCCAAAGGACTGTGTTAACAAAGGAGTCGTTACTTATCGCTTCTAAAAAATTCTACTTGTAATTGCAAAGCCATGAAACAACAAAGACTCTTCAGTTATTTGATCCAGATTTGGTGTGACTGGTGAGTGTATCATATTTATATAACATTTGTATTGTCATAGATCTTTTAAAGGACACTGGTCAGCTCCACTGAATGTTGATTGTACTCTTAGTGTGCGCATACTGAAAACAAACAAGATAAACAAACTTCTCAACATGGCATGAAATTCTTCAAAATGCTTGTTGAATGGTAGTGTCTACTGAACATACTGTAAGTAGACAGTATTCAAGCAATAAATGTATGTACATAATTTTATTCTCAGCTGTTTTAGAAAACAGTATATTCTTTTCCTTACAATAAATTACTTTACAATCAACCCTTTTAAAGTAATTTATGTGTGTACCCCCTTCAGTAAAAGCCTTTTTAACTATAATTCAGACAGTAGCATTTGAAGTGAACCTCAATCAAGATTAAGAGCTCTGCCACATTCACTAGAGGATAGGAGGAGCTGTGAGTCCTGTTATAAATCTGATGAAAATGCAATTATACATTAATGTGTATTAGGCTTTCCTACTGTTTCGGTTTTTCATATGGCAAATTGAGCATGACAGTTTATCTAGACTAGCAGGTTAGGTACTGGAGGTAGTGAAAATTTTAATTTTTAGAATAAAATATTTTTAACCAGAGTACTGCATGATAAGGAAGGTGAAGGAATATTTAATTGGAATTTACATGCAATAATTGCATTAATTAATTGCTTTAATGGTTAAGAAATTAATAATTGCATTAATTTGAACTAGATAATACCAATGTCTGCAATTATTGTATACTGTATATGAAAATTTAATGTCTCTTTTGAAAAATACCAGAGATAGATTTGAAATAACTGCAAGCTACAATATGAACTACAACACTTACAAAATGTGTGTATTCATTAACTGATAATGACACAAATCCAGCTAGAGCTCCACACTCATTGTTCACGACTGGGTACAGATGACTGTGTCTCAGCTCGGAGAGAACCACAGCTGTCTGTTCCAGCACCTGTGTGGAGCCGCCAAATCTCACAGCTTAGAATGATTGTTATATTAGTGAATTTATACTTTTCTATTACATTTTATAAAGTAATCACAGGACACATCTTGGCAAACATTTTTCTAATACAAAACAGTGCATACATAATATCTATGAATCTTAATGAAAGTCTCATGTTCTTTTATCGATATTGAAATCAGATGTGGTAATGTGGCATCCTGAAAGTAAAATGTCTCTTGAGATATGCAACAGAAGGTCTAATAATTTATTTAAATGTCTTGTTTGATGAATCTGGCAAGAAAACACATCAAAGGGACTATTTCTTAGCAAATACCTGAATCTAAACATAATGTTTCTAATTCCCTGGGCTAGCTTTTTAACACTTACCGTTTCTGATAACAGCACTAGTATAGATTAAGAGTCCAAAAAGTTATATCAATTCCAAAAACACAAATCCCAGAAGATACATTGTAATGGGTTCAGATATGTTAAATACAATATATGAATCATTTTAAATTTTCTAAGAATGGCATGTGATATATTCTATAATACTTGAGAAATTAAGTTTGATTGTGAACATTGTAAAACCCTGGGAAGTCATTGTTTGACATTCATTAGCGTTATAACTCAGAGGACTAAACAGCATTTAATGTACTGAATGATGCTAATTAACATAAATTAGATCACATGAAACAACTAAATTCATGTTTGTTGACTTGGTCAATACAATTACTGTATGTAAAAAGATCTTTTGTTATTGACAGTTAATGGTGGCAACAAGCTATACAACACTGTTGTAATGTTTAAAATGTTGCAAACCAACCACTGACAAACCTGACTTCCCAAGTACTGGCTGAGAGAGCACAGGCCCAACAACCACATTCCCCAGAATCCTCTGGGGGAACAAGCTACTGCTCTCAGCCAACTGACCAGTTGCAGGAAGAGAATTGGTCAGGTGAATATTAAAAACTAAATCAGGATGACAAAGCTTCCTGTGTCAGTCAGTATGTGGGAGTTAATGTCTGCTATCTGAGGGGCAGAGGGCATAATCCATAATCCAGTATCCAGAATCCCTGTGTGCACCATTCACCAGAGGGGAAGGACTGCCAGAAACTGTGAGTTTCTGAACTTTTTGTGAATTGGAAAGATTGAAAGAGTCTAAGAAACTGTTTGGTGACTTGTTCTGAAGCCCCTAAGCAGTTTAGTTTCTTGGTAGGAATAGTGAGGGACTTGAAGAAGTTCAGGGAGAAGCTCAAAGACAAGTTTAGGCTTTTGTTTTGGATTGTGTTATGACTCACCCAAGGGTTTGGCATTGCTTCTGATTCCTTGACACTGAAGATAGTATTAGACATGGTCAACAGAGCTTTGTCTGATGAAAATGAGCACCCACTATCAAACTGCTGGAGAAACTGGTTTTCAAGATTGAGCACAATAATGTTCCACGCTGAACGGAGGTCTAACAATAGTTCAGGAGGGACAAGGGTAGCCGGACTATTGAAGCTCAGCTGCTGCAGCTCGCAGGTACTCTTGACATAATTTCTTAGTTTCCTATATCTACCACACATGACCATCTGCTCTTCCTCATTCATTTTGCATTCCTCCTCCACTCCATCCCCACCTTTGTAGCTGCCCCTTGGTCACGTTTTCACCAGGAATGGGGGTCCTAGCCTCCTATAGCGGGGAGGTTGGCCCTCATCCAAACAGGTTAAGCCATGTTTCCACAAACTCAATAAATGATTCTACTTTCTCGCAATCTTCGGCTGCCATCATTCCTTGTGAAAATGAACAAGGCAAGGAATCAGCATTCTGGAATAAACGTGTGAGACTCTCCTTCCTGGCCGGTACATGAGTGTAACATGGATGTGTTAATCACAGCTGCTAATCCAGTCCTGTTTTCCATATGTTACTTGGACTTGATAAAATCGTTCAAATATCTTACAACATTTTAGTGCAAAAAATATGAATGCTTTGTTGATTCAGGAATTTGAGACTAAGCCTGTGGTAACCATTGGATACTGAACAATCCCATTGGGAGATGCTGATAGGGCTGCCTTGGGCTTTGCAGCATCTATTCACCACAGCAATATAAATTCTCACACCTTTTATCTTCACAAGAAAGAGGTTCTTCAGTTCTTCAGTTTCCTTCAGAAACAAGAAGCAAAATGCCTGCAGCATTGGTTATTTTTTATTTGTATCTATTCTTTCTTAAAGGTGCATTTTAATGTAATTTGAGTATGTGATCTAAACCTTAGCCTAAAATTAGAACCTTAGCCTAAAACAAGATTCTATTTTACTTTCTTTATATATCCAGGGGAAGGTGACTACAGAATAAAACATGGATGGTAATATCCAGTGTTAACCAGGATTTAACACTTGAAGGGACAGCGATTTAGTGTGGAAAGATACAATGCCTTTTATCAAAGTAAAATGAATTTGAACTTTGAACTTCCTCAAAGTTTAATTCCGAGTTATATTTTCCTTCACTCTTCCTACCCTGGCTCTGTTCTTTCCAAAGCTGGACTCACCTCCTGCATCTTGAGAAAATGAAATATGACACAGGATGTCTTTGTACTAATATGGAACATGCAATGGTAATGCTGAATTTCAACACATCTTTTAATTCTA